GGGCAGTGAGAAAGAGTGGGGTGTGTGTATGTGAGTCCCTGTTTGAGGAAAACAGCAGGTGCAATATTACTAGGGCTCTGTATCGCCAAGAATCTGACAATGCAATCAATATGAACATGCAGGGTTTACGATTCAATATATTTTAAAAAAAGATTTAATTTCAAGAAAACTGATACAGTATAAAGAACACACCACCATATGCATAAATCTGAATCTGAAAATCTGAATATTAGACAGAGAGTGAGAGTGATAACCAGTTCCTGGCTGAGATCAGGTTTCAGCAGCATCCTCTAGAGACGACAGGAGGATTGAATGCTTGCCTCTTTCTGACTCTATCACTCACCATCGCCTTCATCCCTATTTTCTCCCCTCTCCCTATTCCCCACTTTCACTTCTATTTGTCTGCTCTATCCATCTGTTTCACAGCCTCTAGCTCCTTTTCTCTCGCTTTTTCTCTGTCTGTTTGTCTGCTGTCCTTTTCATTTTTCCTCCACTAATTCATCTCACTCTTTTTTTCACTCTTTCTCTGCCTCAGTCACTATCTTTCTGAAAGAGGGATGCACTGAGTTTTGGGGGTAGACTAGCCTTAGGAGGTAAAGGTATTGGCTGATGGTACACTGTGTACAGCTAAAAATCACTGCATATTTCCGATTAGAAACTAAAATCTTCATAATTTTAACAAAGTTGAACTTTTACTTTGTGAGCATAGTTGTTGATTACATACATTGAGGGCTGCCACTTTTTATTGAAAATTAAAAAATCTCTTTAAACATGGTTAATATTCAAAGTGGAAAGACCTGTTTTGAATTCAAAACAGACTGTTGTGATCCAACAGAGGGCGTAAAATGCAGCTGTCTAACTCTATTATTCATTCGGACACATTGCGTCTCATTTCAAATCCGTTCGAACTTGGAAAAAGTGTCAGTTCTACGCACAGCCACGACACCTTGACCTGTTACATGAACGTGAACGTTTAGGGCTTATGGGAAACAGTGTTCCAACAATATTAGATTGTTTTTTTAAAACTATTGTCCTTATCTAATCCTATGAAGCAAACCACACAACATACTGCTGAGAAATGTCTGTTCTGACCAACCCTAACCTTCCCTAACCCTAATCAAGTGCTTAACATAACCATAAAAAGTTGTATCATTAATTGCATAGAGTGGATTTGTCAGGGAACAATTTGCATTAAGGAATACATTTGCATTAAGGAATAAAAGGTAGGCTTATGTATGTAATGTAGGAATACATTGAATTAAAGCAATGTTTTTCACCACTCACTCATCTATCTACCTGCCTATATCCATAATATTTTCTCCATTCTCTTCTCTCCATTTATTTTTTCCATTGTCCTGTCTACCTCTCCTCCTTAAATTACTCTATTTGCTCATTATCCACCCATGTACACGCATCTATGTTTGTCTAGCTAATTAAAACCTGAGCAAACTTAAAGCCTTTGACAACGCACGATGTAAACATTTCACTGCCATGTGGCTTACTGATGTCTTACACTGTGAGGTTTAAATCAAAAAGATTAGTTAAGACGGGTTTCCCTCTGTGGTATTCTCACTTTCTTTCTTTCATTGCTGTCTGGTATCTGTTTTCTGTCCGTCTCCTGCTGTCTTCTGCAGATGCCTCCTTTGCTTAAGTGTTCCCTGTCCATTTTCACAAATTTTAAACAGTTAATCAGTGACTCCACACATTAGCAATCTCTCTTGCTCTTTCTCTTTGTTGGCCAGCCAGGACTTAGTCATGTCCAATTATGGTTATTACTGATAAAACCCTCCAAAATAACATTGATCTAAAGCAGCAGTTATATTTAAAGGTGTAGTTGAAAAGGTGTTGACAAATGTATTGTGTAATTTATTGTTAAATTACTATAAACCAGTCTCATAAACCCTGCTCTGCTTACTGTCACAGGGACAACATCAGCTTCCTTACTGTACTGGAGAGGATAAACATGTTGGAAGTATTTTTTTCCATTGGTATTCCATCCATCTGCCACCAGGAGAAACTTCTCACAGGATATGGTAAGGATGTGTATTGGCTGTAGCCTGCTGGCTTTTGACTTTCATGTGTTCTCTGGACAGGCTGTACAGAGATACACAGTGGAAATACGCTGCAAGTGGTCTTTATAATAAAGGCCACTGCAGTAGGGGGGACATCAGACGTGGTTCTGTACATACAACATTGGGTATTTGAATTATGCTGAATAAGCAGATGACAACATTTGCACCATTTAGACCTTTACGGCTAAAACAATATAACTTGGGTTTGGGTTTAAGCCTATAAATATAAACATCTGGCTGCTCCACTTCAACTCTCTTTGATTTACAAAGTTCCCTGATGGACATAATTAACTGCTGCTAACTGTATCTGCCTAACAGAACACAGGACAGACTAAATGACTAATGTAATCCAGTATAAATCTAATTTAGACCCGACTTCCGGCACACTTCAGTATCAGTGTAATAAATGCTGGTTGAGAGTTCAGAGCAGCAGTGTGTGGTGTTTGGTTGAGGTCTGGGTGTGTTTGCAGTGGTTACTGCAGTGGAGATGGAGCTATAAGTCTAAACTGGAACACTTAACCATGAGCGGAGGTTGGGTTTGCCTCAAGATTATGCTAAGGTATTATGGAAGATAGAGAACAAGTTAATTACATTTGCTTTATTTAAAACTATTCTTTGAGATCTTCTAATCAAACTTTTCTTTTTCTCTACTTGAAGGCAATTTAGGCCAAATCCAGTAGCTGCAGCGTGTTTTGCCACATGTAATTAATAACTCACAGGAAATGTGTTCAGTCATAGCGTGGCTCTGCATTCAAAAGGCTGTTGTGTATTTGTGTGTGTGTGATATGACTGTGTGGTGTGGACTGTGGGGTGGTTGTTTTAGGGGAGGGTATGTAGGTCACATGGTGATTTGGGTCAAAAGCATCCAGAGATTAACCTCTACCCCCTGTCTCCTCTGCTGTCTGCCCAGCCTCACACAGTAATATACAGTCTGTGCATGTGAGTGGAGCAGGTGGCAGTTTGAGGTGAGCTGCTACCAGTGCTTAATGTGTTAAACCGCTCTGTCTGACTTATGATGATCTATGATGATGGCAGAGAAAGCAGCTAGAAGGAGAAACTAGGAAACCAAAGGTGAAAGGGATATTTAAAAAAGTTAGTGAGTGCAAGAGGTAAAGAGAGAAAGAAGAGGATAAAACGGGGAAGGGGAGATATGAGGCACAGAGACAGATGAAGGGAAACAGAGTGAGAGACGCTTCTTGCCTCTATAGCTACTGCATTGTAAATAGAGACTAAAAATAGAAAGGAACACGCAGAGCTCCTCTGACCAGCTGAGAGTAGAGACTAAGAAAGAAAGATGAGGCTTGCTGTTAAACTGAGGAGGAGATGCTGCTGAGGATAATAAATGCCAGGCGCTGACAGACGATGTTTGAGCTTTTACAACCAGCCGATCTGTTCTGCACATCAATGAGCTCTGAAGCGACTGGGACCAGTCCAGCTGATATCACACCAGCACAACCCTGCCTACATGGGGAAACGTCCAGTCGATACGATCTGATCAATAGAGGCCTGAACTGGACTGGACGGAATAAATGTTTTTTGTGTGTCAGGACACATAAAGGTCATCTGTTACATATCTGCCCCACTGTCCCCTCATTGTAAGGAGCCCAGTCAGAGTTCTCCAATCTGGCCGTGTTTGTCCCTGAATGTGTGTTTGTGGCCCCCACAAGGAGAAAAGGGGACTCAAAGGGGAGCAAGAGGCAGGGCCAGAGGGTTGCCACTGGCTCCCCGATAGAATCAGATTGGCCACCCCTGGCGCCCCTCCTTCAAGAGAAAGGGATCAGTAGTTGGCTTAGCAGTATCATGGATGAATTACTGAAGCTCTGTATGAAGTGACTGTTAACATTTCTTGTTGGAAAGTGAATCTAAAGAGCACAAAGAGATACAAAATGACTATAATGAGAAACAAAATGATTACAAAGAGAGGCAAAATGACTACAGAGAGACACAAAACAACTACGAGGAGATGAAAATTAATTACAAATTATTACTACAAATACAAATACATATACACGAAATGACTACAGATAGACACAAAATGACTACTAAGAGATGCAAAACCACACCTCATAAAAAGACTACCAATGACAGCCATTTTGCCCTTTGTGTCTCTTTCAGTCTGGGTTTCTTGCTTCTTGTAGGACCGGTGGGGGCCCATTGTCTCATAATCTGTACATTGTCTATTTGGAGTTACAAATAGCAGCTATTTATTGATATTATTTTATATTTGAATATTTAAAGTTGGTTATTTGGCATTAATGTATTACAGTGAATAAGCAGGGTGACTATTGGTAATGTACGATTCTTGCCACAAACCAAAATGTGAGTCTTACATTTTTCTTTTTACAAAATGTGCACCCCATCTCTAAAACAGTGCCACAGTCAGCCCCCCTATTCAAAAGTTTCTAAAGCCGCCCCTGCTCGGAGCCAGAGGTATGAGATCGTCCATCCTCAAAGCAGGGTCAGGTGAGGCCAGAGGAAGAGAGGGAAAGGGAGAGGAAGAGAGAGATAGAGGGGGAGGAGGAAGTGCAGAGGAGAAATGTAAGTTTTATGTAATATTCGTGGGTTCCATATATCCCAGAATTGAGGTGTGTTGAGAGGCTGGAGGCAAACAGTGCAAAGTGCTGATGCACTTTGTCAAGTACACATAGAATAACCTACCGCGGACATACCATACATGTATAAATGATATGTAGACATTCAGTTTTGAGCCAGTTTGATGCCCATATTGTATATATTTAATGCAAAATGATTTATTGCTCCAGAAAGGCCAGTAATTAGGATATTACCGGCACAACTGGCGCGGTGAAGGACTATAATTGTATAATGTGGCTAGAAGAGCCAGTCGCATCTCTTACCTCACTGATGCGCCGCTGGAGACTGTTGCTCTTTCCAAGTCTGACCGGTGCAGAGACCGACACACGGGTAGAGGATTCTTTATTTCCCAGCTATGACACAAATAACAGCAGACTTAATGTCCGTACACTTTGTTTATCGGGAGGCGGTGCGCGCTGTCGGTATCCACTGGAAACGATCAGGGATAAAATCCGCAGTCTCCGGAGTAAAACAGACGATGACGACCAGTCTGAGGCTGCCTGACTGCTGCTCTTCTGCTGCTGAAGCTGCCCGAGAATGAGAGGGGGACAAAAAATAGGAAGCTTACAAGTTAACGAGCTGGTCCGGTTGCGCGCTCCGCCGTTCACTGCCCGCTGCTCTGCTGGGATCCTCCTATATGAGCGTCCGTGCGTGTGTGCGCGCACGTGTGAGAGAGAGTTCCCTGAGGATGCGTTTAGAGAGTTGCCCAGGCGAGGCGGAGGGAGGAGGGGGAGGAGAATGATCAGAGGGGGAGGGGGGATAAGCAGGTACCAAGGAAGGAAGGGCTGCAAACTGTCTTCATGCTCACTGTCACTGTGTCTGTGTGTGTCTGTGTGTGTGCGCGCGCGCGTGTGTGCAAGCTTCTGGACTCTTTTTTGCCCCCATTGCCAGACTCTGGATTTCTGCCCTAATATGGCCACTTATAGCTCCATCTGCAAAAGCCAGATTTAGGTTCTCACTGGGAGGGGGGACATATTTCACTTTGTTTAATTTCACATATAAGAAATACTGCATTTGAGTTGCGAGACTACATACAACAAGCTGGAGCATGACTGAATGTTGTGGGTGTATACAGTTTAATTGCTGATTCAGTGATTGTATTTTTGTATGCTAGTAACCAGTTTGTTTGACTGTCTGTATAATGATAATTCCATCGCCTTTAATGGATTTCTCAAGCATTTGATAGAACACATCTTGATAAATCTGCTTTTATAAAAATAACTTTTTGTCATATTTGCTGAGGAAAGTGAATCAAATGAACACAAAGAGATGCATAACAACTACAAAGCGATGCAAAATGACTACAGAGACGCAAAACCACCACAAAGCTATGCAAAACGATTACAAAGACACACAAAATGATTACAAAGAAACAACCACAAAGACACACAAAACTACTACAAAGAAACGCAGAACTCAAAGAGAAACAAAACCATTTCAAAGTTTGACCAGTGATGTAACTTCACTCAGGCGGAATACAAACATGACAGTAGCTAAATTTGCAGTTAAAATGGAAGTGCTGACAGAGGTTAAAGATTGATCATGTCTGTACAGTTAATATGATGCTGTAGCAAGCAGCCGGTTAGCATAGCTTACCATAAAGACTGGGGAAAACAGGTGGCTGGGCTTTCCAAAGGTAAGATAAACTAAGATTCAGAGGTGCTGATAGGTGGATTTTGTTACTTACTGACTACGGATGTCTGGAGCCTCTCTTAAGGATCGCTATAGGGGCCAGTTCTGGGATATTTAAATGGATCGGTATCCGCTAAAATCCGACCCATATATTATTATCGGGATTACAGACATGAGTGGTATCCATTTTCTAATCTAACTCTCAGCAAGAAAGCAAATAAATGTGTTCTCCAAAATGTTACCGATTGTCTTTAATATCTTGTATGTGTAAATGAGTATAGACATACACACACAAAAGCATAGTTCAAGTGTATCATAAATCATCTCTAGCACACTGCACTAGTTGCAGTTCAGCACTGATAACGCAGTGAGGGAGAACTGGGGTCTACGTTCTGGCAGCCACATTCAGAAATTTAGAAAGTTAAAATTCCAGAGTACCTTCGACTACAGTGGTACAGGGCACATAAGCACAAAAAAACTCAAAATCTCCAATAACTGAAAACAATATATCTAATGAAATAATCGCTTATGTATCATCAGTATAGGATGATAGTTTTTGTCCAAATTAATATTTTTTGAGAATTTAATGAAAAACTAAATTGGTTACTTGTGATTATGTTGCCATTTCCACCTCTGTGAAATATTTTCTCTACCAGCGAAAAGTAAGCCAGCGATCACAATGATTGATTGATTCAGTTGTTGATGTTACTTGACCCTTCCTAAGTCCCGCCCCTTTTTTCTCTGTGCTCCAATCAGGTAGCCTTCAGAACCATGATCAACTTTCTCCTTATTGTCCTTAGACATGCTATGTGCTAGGATGGTCCATGTGTGAAACTGAAAGTTGATATGGCTATTATGTTAGCACACAGCTGCTTATTCACACATCCAACAGATAGGAAGCAGCGTTGGCTTTCATTAGAGTTTCATTTTGGAATAAATTCAAATTTAATACAATACAATACAATACACTTTAGCTGCCAAAAAGCCAGCTAGTTGCTAACTTTATATGTCTGTTTTTTGTAGCTGAAGAGTTTTTTTCCCCCGCTAAAAACAACTACCAGTTGTAGCCGAAAAATTACGCTATCAAAGGGATACAACTGAACTGAAACAGTAAAGTTCAGAACCAGAAAACCAAAACAATGGGCTGAAAAACACCATAAAGGTAATTTGTTGCAGGTTCATCATTACAAGCAACCTATTTTACATACAAGTAGCCATGTGATCCATTGTTAAATCATATATTAATAACTGCTGGTCATGGTTTTAAGTTTAAATGTAATACAGCACTTTTATTGCTAGCCATCCCTGTAAGCTCTAATCCAGTGGTTCCCACCATACACACTTCACAGGCCATTCTCATTCCCAGGTTGTCAAATACAGATGTGAGCAGTGTTCAGTTGCAGTCGGATACCACTAAGTCCTACACACTGGTCCTTTAAATGCACTTTTAAACCAGAACACACATTGTTTTTTTATGACATATTTTGAATGAAGCTCTAATGTAATTCATTTATGATAGAGAGTAAACCCAGAATGGAAGCTGAACAAGCAAGACTGAGAGACATGAAGAGAAGAGAAATTTTGATAGGAACATTGGAAAATTGTCATTGTGCAGCCACCCCTCCCCCACTGTAACAGATACTACACTTTACAGGCTCCATTAAGAGCTGTGACCATCTCAGAGAGTTGAGATACCACGATACTGACTAGATGGAATTAGTCCCCTTGGCCTCACAGGGTCATGGCCCACCACTCTTTAAAGTCTCCTTGGAAAAAAAAATCCATTTCCATTCAACAGCAGACGATTTCCTGTACCTGCCGTTGCTGTGCTGCTGTAGCCGGAATGCAACACTAGGAGAAGAGGCGGTCAACCACTTACACAGAAGGTGTGAAATGTCTGGGAAATTGGCTGTCTCACCGCCCTTGATACCATTGATTCTCAAAAGCAGTAGGTCAGCTTGGGAGCTGTGCTGCTCAGCTTCAGATGTACTTATGCTACATTCATGTCATGTCAGCAGAAATAGAAAATAAGACTTGGTAGCATTCACATATTTCACACTGTTGCAGGGTTTGATTTCAAACTCCTCAAAAACTCAGACGTAGTCTGAAGAAATTGTTTATTTTTTTGTTTAAATTGTTCATTTATTTCTGGCCTGCTACGGTGCACACCAGTGATAATATTTACAGAAAGTGGTCAAAAATGGAAAACTTGGAAAAAGAACAAAAACAAATGCTATATACAGTGTTTAAAAAATAATAAAAACCTCACAAAAGGAAGTTCCTCAGTTACTCAGATCATACCTTCCAATGCCTGTTACCTTCACTGTAACCAAGCCAAGACTGATTTCACTACTAAGGCAGTCCTTTCAAACACCTTTTGAACACCTTATTTATTATTGAGTGTTTCCAGCCTCTAAACACAATATATATTTTAAACACAAATTATTTTTTATTATTTTTTATTAATATTACAAACAAAACATAATTATGCTACATGACCTGGAGTTTATTGTATTTAACAGCCCGCTGTTTCCCCCATGTTTGGCCAACCAAACTTCTAATGTAAGACAGCAGCGCAACTCTTCCATCGTTAATGGTAAGTTACAAATTAATGTATCGCTTTGTGTGAACTGTTCAACAATCATTTTTTATGTTTTTTTCACCACTACAGAAACACTAGCTAACTGCTAAAGTATGATAAGATTGTCTGACAGTTTTTTCTTAGTTTAATTACTGGCACTGACTGATCAGGATCATTATCAGCTTATTGTGCTTTTAACTGCAATATGCTGTAAATGGTTGCCTTTCATGCATGTTTTTAAACAACTTTCCAAATTAAACATGATGTGCTTGTTATTAATGGTGTTGGTGTAATGACTCCTGATGAAAGCTTGGAGACCAGACAGACTGGCTGTGTAAGATCTTGTAGTGTATGACCCCCTGCTGCTGATCAGTGATGTAGTGTGAAAACCACTACGACTTCAAGACTCCCGATTACAAGACTGCAAGTTGCATAGTGTGAACAGTACAGAGATCTCACCACTCTGAAAATCTAGTAGTGTCTCCAAGGCTTAGGTGACACCTGGTCAGTATCGTGTGTATTTGACTGGTGCACCACTACATCACACACCATATTACTGTAAATATTTAATGTAATTGGTATTTCTGTGTATTATGTACACAACATTTAAAAAAAGAAAAAAAACTAGGCTTAAACATGGACCTATGCCCAGGGACATCAAGTGCTAAATGTAGAAATGTCAGTGAGGAAACCCCACACAGGTTGACACAGGACTTATCAGTTCAGACACACGCTGTTTCAGTTTAACTGTTAAAGGCCCACATGTGGGGGGGTTTCAGGACAAACACTACTACTCTGGGAAATTCAGCTTGGGTGTGATCAGAGAGGGGTGAACATTTTTATCACCATTACATAATCAGAGCCAAACAGACACATTGAGAGGAGAATGCTGACTGGTTACTTAACAAGATCAGACATGACAAACTCAAACCCATTTGAAAAAAGATAAGAAATGATAAGCACAGATCTCAAAATATTGAGCAGCATGCTTCTGCTTACCTTCTCCGACTGGCTAAGCAGGAAGTGATGGAAATGTGGGTCGTCCTTCACAGGCTGCAACAGAAGAAGAGTTCAGTGTGAGTCTTCTCTTAGCATGTGTACCAACCTGACAGAGAATATAGCGTCCACAGAACTGACACATCAGGGCTCTCTTCACAGTCCTTATACAAACTGCCATGAATTTCTGGTAAGACATTTGAGTGATTCCATCCATGGCCTAAAAATCTCATTCTGCCCTAGAGTGTTAATGTTTATTGTTTCCATTCCATATTATTTGTCCCTCAAAACTCTACAATACAGCAGAAACTCCATAACCAGTGAGAACCCTGTATGTGTTCAACTGCTGCACAAATCATGTTGACTTCAGAAACAGCGGCATGTTATCCACAATGGCTAAATCATACACCCATTACTAACACCAATACACAGCAAGAAGTTTGGTATTCAAAAGAAGTAGAGGTGCATCAATGGGAAAGTTTTACAACCGACACAAAGGTGCGATAATGCACAGGATAACTGGACTATCAAGTCCCCGCCCCCTTTTGTTCTGTGCTCAAATAATAGTTGAGCAAACCTCTGTCAACTTCCTCCTTTCCTGTACTAAGATATGCTATGTGCTAGGCTAATCTATGTTGGAAAGACAACCACATTTGGAAGAACACATTTAATCAAACTTTCAGTTATTTAACGAGCTAGCTAATTTCCATCAATTGTTAGTTAGCAAACGTTTTGCTAACATTAGCCAACTTAAAATGTGACAAATCTCTCTGATGAAGGTTTACTCAACTGTTATTGGAGCACAGAGCAAAAAGGGGCGGGACACAGGAAGGGTCAATTACAAGTGAAGTCCATGGATTCTCCCTGTTCATTACTTTACACAACTTTTATACTGATATATATTTGTAGCTAATATCTTCCAGCCAATAAGGGAATATGAACTAACTTCATATGAAACACCACGTGTTAGCAAATCACACAGCAAATATATTCTGCCGTTAATCTGTAACACAGTGGTCCTCTGAAACTAGACTGCTTTTGACACCAATGCTTCAGGTATTAATATGATCAGTTTAACCCACAAAGCCAGTCAGTCACTGTCTGATTCTCTACATGTTAGTGGAAACACAACAAGGCCTTCACAGTTCAGTTTTGGCCTGCAAACAAAAATGTTGTTTGGGTTTCTAAAGGCTGCAAAGCATGGACCATCAAATGTATAACAGGCATAGATTTTATTCAATATGTTCCAGCATTGTAGTAAGAGGAACTGTCAATATTTAGACAAGTGAAACAAGGAAATGAGCTCATTTAACTCAGCAGACCATAAAGAAGGCTGAGGGCAGCACAGCTTGGAGTGTGACTGCTCTACTGGCTGACTATGTTGTTTTAAGTAACACAGTAAATGCATTCAAAAAGTGTTTTCTTTATGAAAAATGACAACTTATAATATTGTAAATGTACCATTATCATTTAATATAGTTTTCCAAAGTTGTTGCACTGAAACTGCAGCAGCAAACTTGCCATTTTAGTTTGAAAATGTTTCCGCTGACATACAGATCATCAGTTTATGACTCAACTTTTATATGACCTCCACACGCACACACAGCGGTCATTCTGGTTTACACTCAGAAGCCTTTGAGCCTCCACGTACAGAGTTGGTGACCATCTTAACAGCACACGTCAAACAAACAGGTTCAGTAGGCGAGAGTGAGCACCAAACAGGTCAGAAGGGAAAGGTCTGCAGTTGTCGGTGATTAAAGCCAAAGATCAAGGTCAGGCAGAAGAACAAGCAAGGCAAGGCAGGCTTGGGGGGGTTTCACCTACACTGCTTTCCCATTTGAATCCTGAGCCAGGTCCAGCCCCCAGCCTCTCAATAGTGGACGGCTCGGGGTCAGAGTCAGTTAAGTCCTTAAGGAGGAGAGAGACACCTAAATCAAAAGGTGATTGTGTAGAGGTCCATGTCTGCTGTAGTTGGTGACGTTTTGCCGTCATATATGAAGGAGAGAAGTGTTGAGGACCAAGTAGAATATTATTTTCACCTCCACTGTATTGGGATGGAGGCAGGGATGTCTAACCCTGGACAATTCAACACAAACTGGCCTTTAATTAATAATACAGATTTTCGGGGATGGCATCTTGACAGGGTTAGCTCCCCAGCCACTGCTGCTCTTCAATGCAACCTGTTACTGCAGCTATCACCCACATCTATTTGTGTGTAGAAACTAATTGGAAAAAGAATGGGGGGTAAAATTAGTGATGAAGCCTGACAAAATGTATTTCAGTCCTTTTCCACAGTCAACTTTTATATATTTGTTTTTAAATACCACACAGAATGCAATTTAATATCCTTTTTCACAATAATAACAGCCCATGTATGAAAGTAGAACTGCAAACCAGCAGGGACAATATGGCCTACAATTATTTATTGTCATATTACATTTTTCAGTACTTCCTAGCACTATATAAAGATAACAGTGAATGTACAGATTAACCAATTACAAAATTATTCATTCATTCATGTATATTTAAGTCTGTGATAAGTTGGACCTTCTAGCTACTGTAGCTGGCAGTACTGTCAGTGTGCTTCAGGTCTACCATCACACCACTCTCGCTTTGGGTTTAGAGGTGTATTTCCTAACAGGCAGCAATCACACACAGAAACCTTTTATAACTAACATCGGTGCCTACAGCAGGCAGAGGAAAATGTTTCAAACTTTGGTAAATTAAACATTTTTAATTTTTTAAGGAAACAATCTTTAAGACCTTTTGAGAGCTGTGGATATCCCGTTACCGAGGTTGAGGAAGTACTCGGCTGAAACAAGTATAACACTGCTAGAAAGTAGCAGGGTCCAGTTTCGGGGCTAATAAATTACATAGTACAGATCGGTGAACAGATACAAGTACTCGCCAATACCAGATACCACATTTTAGGCCTTATTGGAGGAGTTTCTGATACTGGTATGGGAACAACTCTACTGTTTAACTAATGCTTGATGGGAAAATTGTTTTAACTTCGTGTTCTACTGACCTTCTCAGAGGGGTCCTTCAGGGCACTGAGATCCTCATCATCCTCCTCCAGTATTTTCAGTGGCTTGTTGGGCGTTTTCTTTCCTTTTGACTCTCCTTTGCCATCTGAGTTCTGTTGAAAACACTTTCATTATCATTGTGTGCCAAGACAGCTCTCTGTTTGAAAGCAGGACAGCTCTCTGTTTGAAAGCAGGACAGTTGTAGAATAACCCTGCCTGAGCACGTTGAGCCAAAGGGATAACCATTTCCCACATGTTGAACGCACTCATTCTGGTGGGCAGATGGACCCACAGGGACAACCTGAATAAACATTTGCTTAGACTGAACGTGACACCTTGGAGTATTTCATGAGGGAGCATTTCATGAGGGAGCCTGGGGAGAGCAGGACTCGTTCAGAAAAGTGTCATCTCATTAATCTGTGATTGGATTCAGATTGATCAGTTTCAGTGGTGAAAACAAACGAGCTGTTCTTTGTGATCGGTGTTTGTTTGGATTGTGCTGTGCTCAGATTTGCCCCTGTAACAATAAGTATAATTGAAATCTTTTTAAATATACTAGTGAACAACATTCTCAGTGGAGCTTTAATAATTTTTTGTTCCGTCATGAATTCTGATAAGTTATATTGAACTATACATATTCACTTGTTAAGAAGAGTTTTAAGCAGTTGTTTGCCAAAACAGGCTGTGTTTTCTAGGCTATGTGGCGGCATTAGCTAATGTTAAAGTAACAAACTGTGAATGAAGCTTGGAAAGGGTTTGACTTTTTTTCTGACCTAGTTGTGTTGTGTGACATGGTTGTGTTTCAAGTAATGGAATAAATGCCTGCGTTTTCTCTCAAGGCAGAAACAAGTTTTCAGACAGCATTTACATTTAGCTTCGATTTCTTTACATCATGTTGCTGGTGATTCCTGCTTTTTTTTTGGAGAAAAAAATACTATATATAAAATATATGTATATATTTACTTATGCATTTTCATCACAATTCGCTTAACAAAACTATTAATGGCCCAATTACACTTCTAGTCCAGTGCATACTACTCCTGGTAAGCAGAAAAAGCTTTCATCCTGATTATAGCTAAGCAGTAAGATTCCACAACACTGCAGAGCACATGGCTCCTGACAGAACCTTCAGCCATAGTGGCTCTCACATTGGACAGCAATAGCAGTCTGGTGTGGTTCACAAAGAGTTTCCCTGACCTCCCAGGGAATGCATACCATTCACCATTTCATTACAGTTTGTACAATTTAGGAGTCTGGTTGCAAACCCTTTTAGTCTACCACATTCCTAATACTGTGTAGAATGACAGACGAAACTCTGTGACTCAGTCTGACACAAGGACGTACGAATGATTTGCTTCTTAACCGATAATTGGAATGATCAATGTTCAGAGGGCAGCTCTAGTACTTTACAGTGGACTAAAAGTAGAAGTGAGCATCAGTACTTGTTTGGACGTCAGTATTAGCTCTAGTGTTGCACGGTACACAGATACTTCAAAAGTATCATGATTCTTCAGAAATTAATATAACGCACGATTCCTAATTGTTATTAATATCGATTAATCTTTTAAGATAATGCACCACTCCAGATTTGTAAGAGACGCTATTTATATCTTATGTGTGGCAACGCATGCTTCAAGGCCTCCCTGTGGCACATGTGTTTTTTCTCCTCACGCACGCAGCAAAGAAGCTGGCCAGCTGCTCATGCTGACAAACAAACACCTAAACGAGGCGGCTGCATGCTGCGCATCACAAGCTGATACTGTGCGCCGGCCCGGTCCAACGAACTGTAGAAAAATGCATGCACGCGAGAGTGATAATATGGAAGTACTTTTGTCCTACCTTGTTCTGACATGTGAGGCAGCTAGCCGCATAAGTCGAGACCTGTTTTGTCGTCATGCTACTAACAAATGCTAAACAAGGAGCCCAACAGCCTCGAACTGCGCGAAACACTACACACTGAGTTGCTACAACGCATATTAAAGACCGACAGGTTAGTAGTGAAAGATAACACTCTATGTTCAGACCCCTTAAATAAGTCAAATGAGGTAGTATGGTTTATTTTGTGAGAAAGCACTATTTTGCACCACCGTGTTTTGACGAGGCCTATCTAGAGAAAGTAGTAGGCTAACTATGCCATTATCCTCAGCAACCAATAGCTGCCTACTCGCTAACTTAACTCTCTGAAAACCCAACTTCACAGATAACGCTTAAATAATTTGCAAGCTGCCCCTAAAATAAGCAATACAAACCAATCAGCTAAAATATCAGTAGCCTATAGATTATAATCAGAGCATGGCATTTTTCAGTGAGTTTTATTCTTTATATGGCGTATATAAAACAGCCATATTAAAGAGCACAGACCTCGCAAAGGAGCGTGTATTTTGTCAAACGCCTTGTAAGCAAATTCATGACCTCAAATATAACTTAACCTCAAAAGAATCAGACGTTGAAGTAAACTTTATTAGGAAACTTAGCCGTATATTAATCCATAATATCACAGCCTAAATAAACATAAGAACTCATTATTTCCTGATTATTTAATTATCGTAAGTTTATGTTAAGCTAAATGTTAGCAGTTTGTCATATAAACCACTGCCATATGAAGATGTAATTAGTCACAAGTTATTGTGTACTTCACATAACTATTAGTCTTCTTTTTATGGGACAAATTTACACTCATCATTTGATTTTATTCCATTTTCTTCGCCTACAGAAGTCTGTGATCTCAGGCTCCGAAAGAGCACTCCTCAAAGCAGCAGCCACACCAGCCAGCCAACCCCCCCAAGCTTAAGCTAGCCAAATTTGATTTTCTATATTTTGGTTCAAAATTGTTTAATATATCTGCTGTATCAATGCTTCATTCATTACGTCGGCTAATGATTAAAATGTGGTGTCCCTTTTTAAAAATAAAGCACAGCAAGATATTTGAGAGTGCTTTCTCCCTTTTCAGGAAAAGTATCGAAAAAGGTATCGAAATCGCAATTCTTGCACTTGGTATCGCCGTATCGAAACAATCATTTTGGTATCGTGACAACACTAATTAGCTCAGAATGTAGACCAGGTATAACAATGATGTTTGGAAGTATTTTTGAAAAAAAAAAATAGACAACATGAATGTGCAGTGCAAGCCATATAAGATTAAACTTTGTATCAGAACAGTTTGATGATAAACTATTTGCGGATAAAGCACACAGGAGAGAACAGCTGAGACGGATTAGATGAGTTACTGGAGATACGTTCCTGTTAAACTTTGTGGAGGGTTCTTTGAGCTGATGGCACCTGTTGAGCCAGAGTACAAGCTAACATTGTGGCCAACAACAACTACAAAGATGGAAAAGATGTGTGAGGAAAACGCAGTGATATTCAGGGATTTGTATGTTACTTATTTCCTAGAAGTCTTACACTCTGTGCTTGCGAATGAAAATGGCCAACTATACGAAAAGCAAGAGAGGTATTTTTGGATGAGGAGGCATAAATACATAAATACAAATTCTAGAAATACTAGTTACATCTCAAAGGCCCTCACCTGTTCTTTCCCCTTAGCTTTCTTTAGAAAGTCCTCCACTGCATCGACTGCCTGCTGGAAGCGCTTTCCTTTATTTATCTTGATCATCTCCTCTTTGTGGGCGTGGTAGGGCTTCAGCTGTTCTACTTTGATCCAGGCACTGGACAGGCACACAGAAACCACAGCTCTTAACACATTAGACGGAGCGGGAAATGCACAGTTAATCAGAACAGGTACCCCAATATCCAGACTTACTGATCTTCAGTTCCAAAGAATTTCACAAAGTGGCATTTTTTGCCCCTGGGCTTTTTCAGGTCCTTGGGAGGGCTTACTACCTGTAATGTTAATACATAATGTAGTCCAACATTAGCATCAGATTTGTTATGTTAACATGTATTTTGCTGTGAGCCAGCCATTGGCAGGGTTTCATTCCTTACCTTTCCTGGCCATGGTGGGTAACGACCAAGCTTCCCCCTGGAAGAAGAAAAGAAAAGTGTGTTTTTACATTTACCGACCAAAACATGTACATAGCAATGCGCATCAAATGTTGTCAGGCACACATGCAAAGTTCTAGTTTGACCAGTCAGCATTTTACAGAAAATTAGGGATGAACAATAATTATTGGGGCAGATAAGTGATCAGTTATGAATTATCAAGATTATTAAATTACAGCCAATAAATTATCGGCCCATAATCATTATCATTTACTTTGGACAAAGAATCAATTAATAGCCTTTATGTTTATGTTATAAAAAAAGAGTGAAAAAAACAATTTCCCCCTAGGGGATCAATAAAGTATATGCTTCCTTCTCTTTCTCTTCTTGTCCTTCTTCTTCTTCTTCTTCTTCTATAAGAAGCCAAAGTATGTTGTTAAGTTTTTGATTACTTTTATTTCATTGAAATTTGAAGAGTCATAACAAGTGATGTCAGCTGCATTTGGTTAGCTTAGGCTTATGGAATATCAAATCATCCATCTTTGCTCATTATAGCGCAGCCTTTCCTGCTATCAAGTGTGTGAAAACTACAGGTTATGAACTTAGTTTTTAAAAACACATATGAAATTATTGGTTATCTTATTGGTATCAGCTACGAGAAGCAGGTAATCGTACCAGCAGGGAAAGAAAAAAAATGTGTGCATTGCTGCAAAAAACTATATATTGTTGCTGTACAATCTTATGTATAACAGGTCAATTGTGTTAAGTTACTGGAACACAGACAAACAAAATAGCAACTTACAATTCTTCTTCTACTTCTATAATAGAAGAGAAAGGGAGTGATACTTAATCTAGTGATGTCCACAATATTGAATTTTGTTGGGGTGGTCAGAAGTGTTAAGAAATGATTATCCCCTACTTGTCCCTTTGGTCCCTGTCAGTTTACTATTGTGTCCTCACACGTTGCATTAACATTTCCTCTTGCAAAATCTGTGAGATATGGCAATTCCGGCAGCAACTGCTCAACCTCACACTTACAACAGTGTCGTATATTAAGTTTAAATGAAGCCTGACCACTGGCAAGGTTAAAAACAAGCTATTTAAGACAATAAAGGCAGCTTAAGCCAACTAAAAGAAGGCATAAGAGATATCAAAACTGAAGGCACACCCCAACATATGGACATGAAGAAGTTTATTGAGCCTGAGCCTGAGCCTGACCCAATCAGGAACTGCCATGTTGTTCTCATCCTATCACTGGGGTTCTTCTTTTACTCCACTGTATGTTGATATACAAACATACTGACCTAAAAGAAAGTAAAAATAGCACCTGAATTCATTCACATAGAAACTGGTACATATTTAGGTAACCAGTTCCTACTTGTTAACCTGTACCTGTCTGATGCTAAAGTGGAGTGATGCCAAAATATAAGTCTGCTGGTTAAGTAACCAGTCAAGATGTCCTCTCACTGCACACTGAAGACTTTCGAGGCAGATGACCACCCACCTAGAGCCGAAGGATCTGTCCTAGGTTTCTGCCTGTTAAAAGGCAGTTTTTCCTTGCCCCCGTCTCCAAGTGCTTGCTCATGGTGGTACTGTTGGGTCTCTGTAATTGTTAAAAGGAGTTCGGTCT